TTATGTTCTAATATATCCACTCACCTTGACAAGAAGCGAATTCCTCTAAGCTTCAAGTCATCAAACCATGCTTGCTCTATGATCCTGAGCTCTAACAATCAGCTACTATAATAAATCTTATAGTAAGTCTCCCAGTTTCTAGAAAAACACATTTTTGAAACTAGTCGAGTTATCGAATATTCTTCATTTAAATTCCAATAAGTTTCCAAACTTCAAGCCCAAACCATATATCAAACAATCTTAAGTATTCTTACCTCCCCAACCTTTTTGAAGAGTAAAAGTCCCCAGAGTTTTTAACTCAATGAAGGATTAATTTGCTAAAATTCATGGAAATGATGAGTTAAGTTAATACTATGAGTTTTGAAATCCAAAAATGCTAAATCTTACCTTAGATTCAAGTCTGAAAGGTTGAATCCTTGCCAAATGGGGTCTTGAAAGGTTGAAGGAGGATTTAAGGGTGGTTCGAGATGAATGGAAGCTCAAGCAATGAAAAATGAGGTCTAGGGCTCAAGCTAGGTTCATATATTTTTTCACGTTGGACCCTAAAGATCAACCATTTAAACCTTGGGGGTTAATCCTTGGGCTTTACTTTCATGTCCAAGGATGTTAGGATTAACCTTTCGTCCTCAGGTGGTTGATTTTATTGATTTCTAGTAGCTAAATTTGAACTCTAACTTGTAAAATAGACCCTTTAAGCATTGGGGGCTGATCCTAGATATATCTAGAAGCTTTTCCAACACTTGTAGGAATCAACCCTCCTTTCCCCAAGGGTCAATCCTAGACATTTTCAGAAGCTAAGTAAAGTTTAAAACCTCTTGGGATCAACCCTCCTTGCCATGGGATTGACCTTTCATGCTTTAGCCTGCAAAAAGACTATCTTTTGGTTTCCTTTTTCATTCATGTTTTCAACCATCAATCATCTATAAACATAACACTATATTATGAAGAACTTTGACATCAAATGGCTAGAAAACTCATCCAATAATCATAACCAAGAAGTAGCTCATAAAAGCTTAACATCCATCAAGTTCCACACAATGAAAAATTAGGGTTTCATAATCATGATTGCAGAGCAATAACCAAAAGAAAAGGCAATGAATTATTATGAAAGCAGTAGAAATGAAAAATTAATTTATCCTTTATTGCTAGATCATAGTGGCTATCTGTGGGAAAGATGAAATGTTCAAAAGTAAATTATTTTACAAGCTAGCTTGCCTAAGTTAATTTGTGTTTATCTTTTTCTATTTATTAAACAAAATAATTTAATAAATGGAACTTATAACCCAATCATTGCAAGACTTAGAAGAAAACTTTTCCCTCACTTTTATCAATTGGCCATTATAGTTAAAAAGGATAAAGCAACCAAGGAAGGAGCATAGTCACCAGCTAGTGCAGTAGAGAACATAGAATATAAGGAAGCCACATTTGCAACTGCAAAGGTAACTTTAAAAGCTTATATGCAATGAATGTTGACGAATTCAATGAGATAGTTATTTTTACATCGAAGTAGAAAACATTTAAAACACATTTTCTCCTACTCAAGCTACCAATAGTGAATCATCCACTACTACAAGAAGGATTATAGAGCAACGTGACAAAAAGGTGCCTTACAAAAAAACTAAGGCAAGGAAAAATGGTGAGAAAGTTGATGATGCATTTCTTATCGACATGAAAAAGCTTGGAGATATCTGTCAAGATGCAAAGGAGAAACTTGGTAAATTAGCAAATTGTTTTTAATATATGGTTCAAGATGTAAAAAGGAAAATGCAAGTACCTGACATCATCAAGGATTTTGATCAAGGTTGACTCCTAAAGAAGTTGTCAGGACTTGATATATTATCTCTAATGATATATGGAAGATTAATTACCTCTTTTCATTATCAGATAAATTAAAGAAAATTTATGTAAAAGATTTTCTTAGTGGCTCAATGCAGAGTAATTGCAATAAACAACTAGTTATCGACTTAGGATGAACTTTAGTATTGTTATTATCTTCAAACTTTTTTTGTATTTTAACAATGATGAGTCTCTCATTCAAGTAACCTCAACTTTGATTTTACTAGAATTTTATGAATTTTGGTTTGAAACATGAATCAAGGAACTTCATTTATAATTTTGCAATTAAGATTTTGCAATTATGATTTTGGTATTGATGTCATGTTGGACATGTTGTTTTAACTTGATAGTTGGATGCTAATGTTTGGATTGATACAAGATATTTTGTTTTAACTTGATAGTTGGTTACTAATGTTTAGCTTGATGCTAATACAACTTCTAAGATTTGCAAAAGGTAATTTAAAATGTCTTGAACAAAACAATCAAATCATTTATCCATGCACCCTACACTATAGCCATATATAAGGTGTTCAAGGTATTATTATTACTATAAATTTCATATTTTAAATTTAAATTGACTAAGAATTAAAAATGAAAGTCATAGCCTAGTTTATGGAATATAATAACTGTTGCTATTTAATAGTATTTGAAAACATGTTAATGTAGTGAACTCAAAATACTAGAACCAAGAGGGGGTGAATTGGACCTTTTGAAAAATCGCTTCAAACTTAGTGAAAATCAAACTTTCTTGGGCCAAATTTTACTACTTGAGTTGAAAATAAAGAATTGATATTCTTCAAATACATTTGCAATTATGAAAGCCAAAACAAAAATAAAAGCAAAAATACAAGTATTTTTATAAAGGTTCAGCTCTCTTAAATGCTTACATCTTCTCTCTTAACTCACCAAAAAATTTCAAATCCACTATGAAAAATGCTTTTTAATAAGCTCAAGCTAAACCTTTACAATGCCTTTTACCGAACTCAAGCACAACCCTCACAATGCCTTTTAAGGGAAGCAAGCACAACCCACACTAACTTTTCAAGGCTAAATTAGAACTTTTACAAGAGTGTTTACAATGAAGAAATAGCAACAAATGCCTCTTAATGGCCAACAAGGTAAATGTTTAAGCTTTGAATACAATGGGTTCAATAAATCTCACAATATCAGCTCAAGAATATCAATTAATGGCTTTGAATGCTTTGAAGGGAAGATTTGAAGGAAGTGCTAGAGATGAGTAAATGAAGTTGAAGCTTTTCTTAAAATGTCGCAGCAATTTTTTGAGTCTTTCTCTCCTGTCAAAATGAGTGGGGAAGCCTTCTTTTATATCCTCTTAAGAGATTGTAGCTATTAGAGACAAGTTGAAGCTGAAAATAGCCATTAGAGGCACTAATTACAGAGCTGTTGCGTCACTAAGGTCAAGTATGGGAGAAGTGAAGTCAACCACCAATTAAAGTCGACCCTTAACCCGAGGCTACCTTCATTTCTTATTTCCTTGCTATGGGTCATGGTAATGTGAACGTTGACTCTCTAAGCTTCCTGGGGCTCTTTGAAATCTTTTCTTCCTTCTAGGGTCATGTGTAGCTTGTCCCGAGTCAACCTTTTAAACTTCCTTCAATTTTTCTTAAGTATTTTGCTTTGGGGCCTAGTTTGGTGATGTGTAGTCGACCCAAAACCTGAGACTTCTTATCATTCTATCTTCAATTCTCCATGTTGGGTCGAGTATGAAGAAGTTGTAGTCGACCTTGAACCAATGATATGTTTGCCCTTTGTTTCCTCTAGCTGGAAAGTCCATGTTTGAAAACTTTTTTATTTTTTCTAAGTATGAAGGATTTGTCAAACATTTTCTAAGACCTTAAGGGATTAGAATCATGAATCAAAACATTTCGAATACTTTGTGATCAAACTTAGCTCAATATAATTGTATCAAATCAAAACATAAGTCATTTTCAAGTCTAAGAATGTAGAAATTTTTTCCAAAACAAATGATATAATAAAACTTTGGAATTTTATTTTAGCAAAACACATGTCAAATATAGAACTAGAAGCCTTTAAATTATAAAAAAAAATAAAAAAACAAAAGTATACACAAATTTTTTATTATAATAAAAAATAAAAATAAAATATACAAAATTAATTTAATTTTTCTTCATATAAATTTACACTTCAAATTATTGATTGAAACATATATTAGAGTGCCTCAAAAATTTATTGAAAAGAAAGAATGGCTAGAGTTATTTAAAAAATAATATACATCAAAAGAGAACACACGAGTATATTAAATATGCATTTCATAAATAAGAATGATTTTAAAAATTACCATCACATTTTTAATAAAATACTTATAAATCATAAGCTGTAAAATTTATCTCACAATATTTTAATCAACACGTTCTTATATATACCTATTATATTATGGTCTTAAGAATCACATTCCAACAAATTCTCTAGTTTCACGTTATATTATAAAGTACCAAATGATTCGTAAGAGTATTTTGTTTACATTTGTTGATCAACTTAGCCTTCTTGCTTACGCTCATTGCAGGCCCCTTTTTTTTCGTTCTCTAATTACAATATTTTGCCTTTTCTCTCTTTCATTCTTTTCTGGCCTTCTCTTTTCAAATGATGGCAAATTCATGTCAACAAAAAGCTTCAAGTCCCATATTACATACTAATAATTTTCTATATTTTCTTTTAAATTCTTGTTAATACTATTAAATATTTATCAAGAAAAGAATCAAATTAGACTGGACTCAGTTACCTGATTTACAGTACGAGTTTGGAGTGGATTCAATATTACTTGATATAATTATAAGTAGTACCCCATAATCCCAAAATCAGACAGCACCCTGTTTTTCTTGCAGATAATTGTGGTGAGAACCCTCCACGAATATTTCTGTTAATGAACTTCCCCGAGCAGCATGTAAATCTGGAACATCTTTACTCAAAAGAAAACTTATGAAACAATAAGCATTTCCTTCCCTTTTGATTGAACCGGATGAGTATAATTTGTTGGATAAGATGTGAAATTTTATGATTTACTTTAAAATGATATCAATTCCATGAAAACGAACTGCATATGATTCATCACTTTACGCAAGGAATTGCACATGATTTGCCAAAGGCAATGACCATAACACGAGTTTCAGTTGTTCTCAATCCAATGTTTTAACTGCCAGATTGTATGAGGTGACCTTTTGTAATTTACTCGACACGTATGTCACAAAATCCCAAAGAAGATACACATAATTGGGACAAATTCCCTACCTGAGTCCAAAAGAAAGAATTTATATCAATAAACAGATGCAGTGTGGCACCCCCACCTCTTAACTGATGTGCGATCATGTTAACGTATGTATACAACGCTACTCTAAAGAAGAAGAATCCAAAACACTTCCAACTAGGTTTGCCTTGGAATTCTCCAAAAACTATACTGAGATTTGTGTTGATATTTTCACCAGAAAATACGAGATATGGCAAGCAAATCAGTAAACGTATAGACAGTGTTAGTGCCAATGTCTTTAATGATGTGAGCCATCATGCTTTCTCTCGATTACCTGTAAATTTGAGTGAATCGATAAACTTGGGATACCTTTAAATTTTCATCTTAAAATCAGTAAAGATAATGGATTCTTACTTCGATTTTTCCGACCATAATACTTTCTTGAAAAGAACTTACTGACAGGAGTTTCCGGAACAGGTATCAGCTTCCCAAGGAGCGCAAGGGGCCAACTGATTTAAAAAGAAAATAATAATAATAAGATAATGAACTGTGAAGACATTATAGAGAGCATAGCTAAAAGCTGTGAGAATATTTAGCAAAACGAATATAGATTAACTTTAACTTAACCCTAGAGTCTGCAATTGAAGAGCTACTGACCCGACAAACCCAATAGCAACTGATACCAGCCACAGCTTCCAGTTAAGCTGCACAGTTTTAGCAAACTTCCCCAGAAACTCGACAATAACAACCTGGAAAACAAGAAACAGAATTTAATACCAAGCAAAATCTATAAAATAGAGTACAACCAGAAAAATTGCAAACAAATCTCACCTGAAGTACAACAGTTATTGCCACTATTCCAATAAAGAGATAATTTCTACTAAGTCCTTTGAAAATGTTCATTTCATCTGGCTTCCGAGCATTGAACTCATTAAAGATCTGCAGTCCATATATTTAAATTTCCATCAATACATCATAGCTATTTACAAATTCAAACACTGGTCTATTTCTCCCTTCAAATAAAATCCATCACATGCGCAAAACAGGTAAGATCCACCCATAAAATTTGATCCAACTACAACAAATTTTTGTTAATTGCTTATATGAGTAGCTATGACTTACTTGACACAGGACAAATGCATTGAAAATAACTGTATTCTTCACTTTGCTAGCATGTTCTCTACTCTGATGATCCAGATGCAATATCTTCTTGCCTTGGAAATTGAGAACAAGCAGAACACTCACTTGATATACAGCCTGAAATTTCCACGAACAATTTACATTGCCAGCTTAGAAAGACGGTTTTAATTGGAAAGAAAGAGGGTAGGGGAGGGGGCAAGGAATGAAATTACCAGAATCATTAACAGCCAGAAAATAAACAATTATGTCGGGATAGATGAATACATACCTGTATAACCAAGTTCCTCCACATGATATTAGTTATAAGAGGTTCCCTGGAACACAATCATCACTTTAGGATAACCATCAAGAAGAAAAGAAGATAAAGAGGAGGGAAAGCAGCAGGCTTTCTCATGCAATCCTTTTGCTAGAGAACAACAAACAACTTTTGAAGCAAACTAGTCTTGGAAAGAGGCAAGTTGTTTATAGAACCCATCAATAAAAAAAAAAGGATGAAAATGATGGTAAAAGTCTGTTCACAGTACTCTACTTTCAATGAGATAATTGATGCCTGTACGTTAGATCCAATTAACCCATAGCATTGACACCATTAGCTTTCGCAATTAAACAACGCTAACTTGGCATTGATGTTGTACCTAGGTGATTCTTTTCCCCAATGTGGCAATAACATGACATATAACTACTTTGTTTGAAAATAAATGTCGACCCTTATACAAGACAAATTTTTATGTATGGGTACTCTAAACACATACATTCCATACCCTTTAAGATTCCATAAAAGCTAGAGGGTAGTCCTAAAATAACACAATAAATTAAAAAAAGCCGCACTTTGTTTTTAGCAAACATTTGTTATTTCAATGACATAAAAAACTTTGCAGAAGTGGATAACACCCTTTGACAATGAGATAGACAACCAATTCAAAACAGAGAATATTTAACAATTTTTAGGAAAATTATGACAATTTATTTTCTAGAATATGTTTCTTCAATTCTAAATTTTGTTTCCATTTAAATCCCTATTTTTTTTTTAATTTCATTTTTCTACATTAGAATATTTATAAACAATCTATAATAATATTTCAATATATAAATATAAGGAGTTTTTTTTCTTTTTTGTGATCATACATTATATAAATGTTCAAATCTTATTAGATATTGTTCAATATGTTAAAAGTAAAAATTAAAACAAAAGGATATTTGTACAAATGAAAACAAAATCAGGACAAAGATAAAACGTATGTTCAAATTAAATTGGTAACATATTTGTTACTTCTAAAACAGATCCACCTTTTTGAAAATTATTAAAATTATACTTTTATGTGACATCATCCACGTCAAATAAAAAAGCGACATGCCACCAAAGAAGTGCCACATTGGCTGGTTAACAATGAAAGGTACGTTTTAACAGTTCTCCTTAAGTTGCACCAAAAGTCAAATTTTACGACCAAAAGTATCCAATTGAATCTAAAGGGGCCACATTGAGGACAGCCAGTGAACTTTTACTAATTAAAATAAACTTTTAAATACTATTAACAGAATGCAATAACAAGAAAAAGCTAAAATAAATAAATAAATACCACAACGAAAGCCAAATTCCAATCAGGTGCGGGAAATTCAGACAAGAATTAGAAAGGTTGCTCACTTAAAGCTTTTACATTTTCTTTGCACACATGAGGCAAGAAGGGAGACGGGATTCAAACATTGAACCTGAACCCTCCTAACAAGGGATATCAACTGCTAGCCAACTTAAGTTTTCACTAACCAGTTCTTGTGAGTTTAAGGAAGAAATGCAAACTACTAAAATAATCAATATCCTGTTAACTAGAAGACAAATTATGACTGATAATTAGAGAAACGCCTTATTCCAGCCCTCAGGACAAGGTTTGCCAAGGCATAACCTGGGCGACCTGCTAATGTTTGTTAAGAATCTAGATTAATCAAAATCCCATACCTTCGACCAACAGGGGGACGGTGCATCAGGTGGTCTGTTGGTGGTTCAGTAGCCAATGCCAATGCTCCAAGAGTATCCATGATAAGATTAACCCACAAAAGCTGCATGAAGAGAAAGTACTCATCTCCTTTCATACAAGCTAATGCACATATATGTGTCTATAAACACAGAGAGTGAACAAACCTGGACCGCATTCAGTGGGACATCACCAGATGAAACTGCAGCTACAACATTTATAACAAGAGCTGCAACATTAACTGTAAGTTGAAACTGGATGAACTTTTGGATATTTGCATATACAGATCTACCCCATCGGACGACCTAAATTCATCACAAATTCAAGATTATGCATGAAAAGGTTGATGTGAGAAAATAAACTTTCAACATTGATTATACAGTAATATCCTAGGAAGAAAAGGAATACCTTCACAACTGAAGCAAAATTGTCATCCAAGATGATGATATCTGAATTCTCTTTTGCAACTTCTGTCCCTTGAATACCCATTGCAAGACCAATGTCGGCCTGTAGACCAGAGACTTAGTTCAGAACAGTAATCACACATAAACCTTTTGATGAATTAAGATCACCCACCCAATCCCAAATGAATTCATTGCCTACAACATTCTTAAAAAGGGTTACTACAATCCATGATTTTCCAACTGAAGCCAATAAATTCAATCTAGTCCAATTCTTTGCAACTCAGAACAATGGGTTTACAGAGCAACTTTTATTAACTACAGATGTCAAAGCTTATAATAAGACAGTCATTCTTAAAAAGCAATTTTCCACAAAGCAATAATAATTGCAGTCAAATAAGGCTGGCTTTTCCATCATTAAACTTAAGAATTCACAATTGCAGTCCAGTATGGAATGTATTAACTACACTATCTCATTTAAAATCGTCTTACTAAAAATGGATTTTTTTTTTTAAAAAAAAAAGAAAGTATAATGAGATTCAGGAATGACATGATAACAAAACAGTGTTATAAAGCATTCAGTTAAAAATATTTTCATTGATGACAAAAAAGGCTTAGCATTGTCATACCTCATGTAGAGCTGGAGCATCATTGGTGCCATCTCCAGTTACAGCAACAACATGTCCCCTCTTTCTCAACGCTTGCACAAGTAGAAGTTTATCGTTGGGTGTTGATCGGCCCATCACCTTTGCATAAACACCCCAATTAATTTAAATTTTCTGCTCTTGGTTTGGTGCCTCAAGCCAAATTCATAAAAGAATACAGAACGAGAGCATACAGATATTTTCTCAGCAACTTCTTCCCTTTGCGTATCAGATAGTGCACGAAAAGCTTTACCCTCAATGAGATTAGGCTCAGAAGAATCTGCATCTGAATGTAGTATCCCACATTCTAAAGCAATTGCCTTTGCTGTCTTAAGGTTGTCACCAGTGACCATGCGTACCTATGGCACACAGATGGAAACTCTGTTAAATTATACAGCAAGTTACCAGATAAACCAGTACCATGTCAAAGAGAAATCACAAACCACACTGACTAGATTTATGTACTAATAATTAAGAATCGCACAAACCATTCACCATGAGTCACTCTTGTGACCTTTAATATGTTCATAGACCAATCTAAATTAATTAAAAGTTTTAAAAGTCAAACTAGAATTCTGAAACATTTAGAGAGTTAAGACGTATCTATACCAAAAAAAAGCTCCGAAAGCCTTTAGCAAGCATAGTTGCAGTAGCATACAAAGATTACAGCTCCTTCTCAATACAAGTGTAATGAAAGCAGACAAAAATCAAGTAAAGGAAACCAGATTAAATGAAAAACTCAAACTTGCAAAGCATTCTTCTGATTCTTAAAAAATGAGGAGCAGAAGAATTGACCACAAAAGATTTCTTGCTCTTGTTTGTGATTGGATTTGCAGAAGTTGGGGGTCAGAAGGGGGGAAATGCTTTTGAGAAGTATGAAAAATGGACCGGAGTAGAGACTGTTACAAGTTGACAGAAATGAACAGAGAAATGCAAAGTAAAACCTTTTGATAACATTGAAATCTTCTAATCAGGATGGGCAGCAAGAGTTTAGACAAAAGGGAACAACACAACAGACACCACAAAAAAAACGGAAGTCAAATGCAGCATTTACAGATTCAAAAGATTTAAAAAGAAGAAAAATACTCAATCCATAACAAGCATTTTGCAATCGCAATGTAACTCTACATTTATAAATCGAAAAAACATTAAAAACAAGCATTAGCATAGTATAAACAGAATGATTAGTTATAGTGGATAAAATAATTATACCTTTACACCAGCCTTTTGGCATAATTGCACTGAATCTTGGACACCTGGCCGACAAGGGTCCTGCATAAATTCTCAATGTAACAAACAACAATCCAAGCTAAAACTGCATTCATCACACAATTGAACATGACCGTCGAAACAAAAGATCTTAGCAACATTGTCAGAAAAGAAACACGGAAGCAAGATTGATGTCTGAGTTTCTATTTAAGGAAACTTCAAATTACTAGTCTAAACAAACAACGAACTTATGAATATTAGGCCTCTTAGCTCAATTAGAGCAATATCCTCAGTAAGCTCAATAAAAGAGATGTCATATTTACGATTCCCAACCATAACTTCCTCTCCTTCCATTAACATGGGTATCCTTCTTTAAGTCACATCTTCTCACATGAGACTTTGTGACTCTCCCTTTTACAGGTCCAAACCAAACGACACATCTTTTCCTGATTTTGTCAGCAATGGATCCGCACTTCACTTTCCTCCTTGCACAATCACTCCCAACTATATCTTCATTTATATACCAAAATATCATAGCATTCTCTTCTGAACCATGATTATTTTTTGGGTATACTTTTGTAACTAACATTCAATTCTGAAATGCATTTTTGGTCTTCTTGCTGTCTTTAAAACTTTC